CTTTGGCATTATCCTTTTTGAACTAATCACCGCTATTCATCCACATCAGAACTTAATGGAATATGTAAATCTTGTAAGTTCCCAGATCATCCCATCCCATCCCATCACACTTCAAATGCAAATTTTACGTTGTCTTATTGTCTTGACCTGTTATGTACAAAGGCGGCAATGAGTTCTGATGGAGTTGATGAGATCCTAGACAAGAAGCTTGTTGGAACATGCAGTGTAGAACAAGTGAGGAGTCTTGCTGCAATTGCTCATAAATGCATACACAGAACACCTAGGAAGCGTCCTTCCATGGGCGAAATATCACATGCAATATTGAAAATAAAACAGAGGCGCCTTGTCAAAGAGGATACCATGTCATTTACAAGATATGACAGTTCAAGAATGGCTAGAAGGATAGAACATCAACAGGTTGAATTGAGAAACATGGCCAGCATTAATGAAAGAGAAGTTGAATGACTTTTCATTCACAACCATGAACACTTTGTTTCAATTCTTGAGCTTATTTTTTGCAGCATAAAAGATATAGGAAAGACATCACGCTGAGTGTTGGATCAACAACTTGGCATGAAATTGGTGTTTTTGGATATGATTTAAGTTATATAAACTAACCATGTAAAGAATTTTTATATCGGAAAATTTAAGTTGACAAGATTTTAACATGTATCCTTTCTTTCCACCTCTTACTAATTCACGCTTATTAATATCTTAGCTTTTTCAAGTTCATATTCAAGATTTTCACGGTTAAATATATTTTTTTTTCATTTTTAAATGAGAAAAAGATTTCTAACTTTAGCCCAAGAAAGACTTTAGGAGTGAATGTATTAAATGAAATAGTCCTTGTATTACATTTTAAACAATATCTAATATGTGAAAAATTTAATACACCATCTAATATCTAGGGATTACTAATATAATAATATAATATTTAATGATACTTGGACATTTTTTCTCCCTAACCTAGAGTATGGTTAGCAGTGACTATAAGTATTGTTTATTCTATGCGGTCCTAGCCAATTATATGCAATAGAAATATTCAAAATAATTTAAAAGTATAATTGAAAATGTGCAATTCAAACTCTACGAGTTTTACAAATTTACTTGGGAGTATTTTTGTCCAAATTTTTAGTTGCACAATAAAAAGAAAATATCCTATTTTTTAATTATATTTTCGAAGTAGCAGGTAAACTTTGATTACCGGACCAAAAAGTGGCTAATTCAGACAACTTTCAAAGATCGTTATTAATTTGGGCCGATTATTTTGTTTACATCGGCCCAACCCGAAACCAACCGATTGAATAATCTTCTTCTTCCTTCGGTTAACCTAATTGTGTCCCCTACCGATTGAATAATCTTCTTCTTCCTTAGGTTAACCTAATTGTGTCCCCTTCGCCTTACAGAGCTCGAAATCGGTAGCCATAGTCAATCAGGATGAGGAAGCTTAAAGCTCATGAAAAGAAGCTTCTGAAGAAGGTGAACTTCCTTGAATGGAAGAGAGAAGGAGGTCACAGAGAAGGTGATGTCATGCGTCGTTACCACGTCACTGGCAGAGACGACTACAAAAAGTATGTCTTTCCTATATCACATGTGAATGTTTCTGTTCTTACAGTCTTATTGGTGTATAAAGCTAATTTCTTGTTTGTTTTATCTCTATTTAGGTACTCAGGTTTGTGCAGAACAGTGCAGAAGCTTGTGAATATACTGAAGCAGATGGACCCAAGAGATCCATATAGAATAGAAATGACCGATTCTCTTCTAGAGAAGCTGTGAGTGTTTTAGCCTAACTTATTATGTTGTTAATCCCATTTATTGTTATTATTACTCTCTTAGTATCTTGTTTCTTCGATTTTAGTATTACATGTTGTTTGCTTGCTTCAATTATTGTATTATTTGTTGTTGCTATTGTTCTTGTTTCCTTGTTTTCAGCATGTGTTTTTTCCTTAACTACCTGTCTGAGACTGCTTCACACCAACCTCACGGGATCTCACTTGTGGGATTACAGTGGGTATGTTGTTGCGATACTTATCAAGTTTGAGTGCCCTGATAATTTAAGTTCGTGAGAGATATTTTTCCAAGTGAAGTTGGGCAAAAATTTATGCTGTGTACTACAGTCTACAAGGTCAAAATTATCTTTTATATATATATATATAGTAGATGTTGGATTCCCTTGGCTTTTTATGTTTGTTTCTTTATATTTTGAAAATCCTTTCTCCGGATATCAACTTGTGACCTTCATTGTGTAGGCTAATTACTTAATGCCTACATTAATTTTTCAATAATATGTATATTTATTTAGTTTTTTTTGCTTAGTATATGTAGACAATAGCCAGTTAAGAAGATAATGGTGCAGGAGTGATAGACCTTAATCTGTTGTAGCTATATAATAACTCAGCTACAGAACTTCTGTTTTCAACAAGTGAGCATCAGATACTTGGTAACCATGTGATTCTTCTGAAACAGTTGATGACTGCATCCATCTCTGCCTGCCTCTGATATTCTGTTTGCTTGATTCGTATGCATTACTATATTTTGCGAACTTAATGCGAAGATGATCGATCATTAGCAGTGTAATATATGTGCATGAACATTTTCCTTCTTCCTCTTTTCTGGTTTGATAGATGTTATTATTGCTCTCATCCTTCCTTGTGCTGAAAATCTTTCCTCAATCATTTTCTCTATGAAAGCACATCCTCCTTATCTCTCCTTAGTATTTCCACAGATTTCATGAAATCACAAATTCTGATAGATTTCTCCTTAATTCAGGTACAACATGGGCGTAATAACTACAAGGAAAAGCTTATCCGTGTGTGAGAACTTATCTGTGTCATCCTTCTGCAGGTAAATGAGTTCTCTATATTTCCTATTGTGTAGTTCTTTACATCTACAAACAAGTTGGCGTCAGCTGTATGAATCGTCACTTACGATATTACACCATTTAAACTCATCTCATGCCATTATTATGCAAATACAAATAAAAAACTTTTAAATTTAAATTCTCTATATTTTCTACACTTAAAAATCTCTGTAAGGTAATATTATGCAGTTTTACGTGCATACAAAAGAACCTCTCACCTACCTACCAATCTTCCAAGCACAAGCAATCATTTTTCAACTCTTCTTAGGTTGTTGATTTAAGACAACATTGCGAGTCACCACTAGTTGGTCATAAATGGAGTTGTGTTACTGCATGTTTTTGTTCTTCCTGATCAAAATTTGCAAGGATAATGTTCTTGGTAATAAAGACATGCATGTATTCTTCATTCACAGGCGTAGGTTGTCCACTATCTTGGTGAGGCTGAAGTTTGCTGAACACATGAAGGAAGCAGTGACATACATAGAACAAGGTCATATTCGAGTTGGACCCGATACAGTTGTTGACCCAGCATTTCTCGTGACGAGAAATATGGAGGATTTCATCACTTGGGTAGATACATCTAAGATTAGGAGAAAGGTCTTGGAGTACAACGATCAGCTAGACGATTATGATGCAATGAATTGATGACTGGTGACAGATTTATGAAGCATTTGAGAATTGATTGAATGAGAGAAATGGAACACATTCTTCTTGGCCATTGTTGGAGTTCCCTGGCAGGTTTACCTCCTGCTAGTTTGCCTTGTACTACCTCCCCTCTACATTTTTGCTCCTGTAGACTGTTGAAGATGTACACATTATATTCAACAGTAAAGTTTAATAGAATATCTTTGTTAGTAACTTAATTCACATGTCAGTCATTTGGAGTTAAATTTATTATATTCGAAGTTGATTTTCTAATGCTTATGGATGGTATAATGTTTGGTGTTAATTCAATTTTACTGTACAAGATTCTATATCTCTAGAGATAATTTTTGGGTGGTCAGCATATGAACTTTACAATATTTTACCTTATTCAATCTAAAGACATGTTTTTAGAATAGATGAAAGAAGAGCATGTTAATTTAAGGTTAAAAATTGTATGAAGCAATCAAAATTATGACGGTTTCAGTCTCATTTCTTTGAAGGCTGGTCTTTTTGTTTCCTACATTTTTTCTAATCTTTTATTGAGTTATTTTTCTTTTCTTTTTGCATCTTAAAAGACATCTTTTATGGAGTGTCACGGTTATGTTTAGAAGATATTTAAAGTTAAAAAGGACTACTCGGTATTATTTGTTATGATTTTTTTAAAGTCAAATTAGGAAAACTTTAATTAATATTTTAAAATGTACATTTTAATCATATTAATATGCAAAAATTGCTATTTATAGTACTTTTCATATAATTTTAGAATATCTAATTTTTTTATTTAAAATGTCAAATTAATGTGATTTAACTTTAAAAATTAGTTAAATTGACTTTCAAAAAACATAACATGACAAATAATATCGAATGGAGGGAGTATTTCTTTTTTAATTTAGTTATTTGATAATTTAATTATTTAAGTTTGGAATGTTTAATAAGACAATATTAAAATATGGTTTTCAATTCTTTATTATAATTCTATCAACAGTATAATTTCAAAATTTCAAAGATGCGCATACTCTCTAGTCTCTACATTGATATTTATACGTGACCTTTACTAATAATATATGTTTCCTAATAAGTAAATAATATTACGCTTTCTATTTTATCCTTAAGAGTTATAAGCGTATAATGTAAGAAACTAAATAATTAATTCTGGTTCATTGGTCAATTTAATTAGTCAACGTAATTTAATTTATTTTCAGTAATTAAAAATTTTGACTTTAAAAAGAACACTAAATAAATATATAACGATAAACTTATCTAGTTTTCTTGATGAATATGAAATGTAAAACGACCACGTATATAAAAATAATTATGGAAATAAATTTTTTTAACTTACATAGTTACCATAAATGTATAATTTTTATATATTCTTAGGTTATTTTGTTTCCTCCGAGCGTTTAAATACACGATTTTACCTTTAGCGTACTTAATAAGTCATTAATACATTTTAGTACTTAGCGTGCTTATTACGGTGCTTCTCATCACTGTAAATACAGATTTTCTCTCTCACTTTTTATGTACCTTCATCTTTTGTCTGCGCTGTGCTTTTGGTTCTTCGTTTCATCTCACTCGAATTTATTTCCTTTTTTTGTGCATCTTCGGTATGCTTTCGTTACTGAATTTGGATTTTGGGGTTTTTTTTTTGCAGGGCGATGTCCGATCAGAACCCCAAATCAATTTTGCTGCAGCCGACCTATCTACTTGATATTGTCAGTTTTTCTTGAATTTCTTGCATGCATTCGCAGTTAAGTGAAGAAAATCAACAACTTGTTGTCTTTTTAAAGCTACATTCGTATTATACTTTAAGAAAATCAAAAGAAACCGTAGTTTTCAAGAATATATTGGCATTAAAAGTTGAAAATTGTGTCAAGTAAGATAATGGGGAATTCTGAAAAGATGAATGATTTTTGACATTGATCTAATGCATTTAATGTTGCTCAAGTTATTATATTACTTCATTATCTCAAGTTATACTTTCTTTTGAAGGATTGTCGGAAGTTGTACTTTACTTTTGAAGGATGTGGTGTTAATCAACTATTGTTTTGTATGCTTCCTTTACGCTAGCAACAACAAAATAATGTCATTCAGATGTTTTTGTGTGCTTTCCCAGCAAGCTTTGGCTTTAAAGGAGAATCTGTGAGCTCTAATTCGGACCTTTCTTTTGTTGGAAATTGTTAGTAATACAACTCATGGGATGCCAAATGGTTATCGAAAGGTTTTGAAGGAAAAGTTCTTTTGAGATTTAGTTGGGTAATATCCATTAGGATAGGGTATAACACTACTAACCTGGTCGTTGTTTTTGACATTGTTTACAGGATGACATGTTTTGTACCTTGAAATCGCTAAATCAAATATATTAGTTATGTTTCTCTCTTCAGGCCAAGTGTGAAAATGAAACTTGTTGACATCTGAAATAGGAAATACTAGGCTCAAGGGGAGCACACAAGTACACACCGATGGGGAGTCAAGAAAACGTTCTGATTAACGTAATTGGAAGTTCCTACAATTGATCAGACTAAAAAGATAAACTTCATTCTGTCAAGTTGAAGTAATCACAAAATTGTATGTATAAAGATAAAATGGACAAACAAGGTGATTTTTGATGATGTTGAAAGTTGATATATACGTGTCTGTTTGGCTTCGATTCAAAAGTTTTTGGAAGTTTGCAAAGATTAGACTCTATTTGCTAGAGTATATTAAAAAGTTAGCAGTTACTGTGCTTTGCATTAGGAGCTTAAAAGGATTTAGTTTCTTTCTAGAAAAAGTAACATCGATGGTCTTACCTTTCTTAGTTTTATTGATATACTTTTACTGTTTCGTAGTGATGAATGTTGAGGTTCAAAAATAATGTTATTCCTTCTCTGTTTATCCTGTATTTGAATCACTGTTTCATTCAAGATCATTATGTTCTTCTTTGTTGAAATGAATATACCTTTCCTCATTGAATTTATTTATCATGCTATTGTTTAAGTTGGTTGACACAGCATGTTCTCTCCGGGTTGAATATAATATGGATGATTTGTACATTTATGGAGAAATCCTCAGCATTCTCCAACAATGAATGGAAGGAGCGAAAACCACACTGGACCAGGTGAACTTTTCTTTTGATAAATGTATTACTGATAATCTCAAAAAGATATACACTCACTTAATCCTGAATAAAGATCTGTACATGCATCAATTATATTACTCACATTGGATTATCTCTTTATAGATGCAACTGTTGGTTGGTATTTTGTGAACAAATCATTTGTATTAGTTTCTATTTGGAAATAGTTGCTTGAAAATCCAAATAAAATTACTTCAAGTCATGGGGTTTGATTTTCTTGATTGCCTTCAGAAGCCCGTTCTTGATATTTTGTAGAGGCTTTTTGGATTTGACAAGAAAAAAGATTGTTTCCTTACTGGTTTTTATTACAATTGAAGTTTCCTGTTATTTAGTAGGACAACATCTTGCCTAAACTCGCATATATGGCTTTAGAGTAATTCTGTTGAACACTTGTTAAGTTCGATACATTTGAATTTCCTCTTGAATCTTGAGAATTATAACTTCAAATATTTTTAAAAAGAATTTGCAGATTTTTTTGCTGCTTGAATTCGAGTTGTAAACCTCAGAATTTCTCTTATTTATTGTTTACTTCCTAATGCTTATGGATGGTATAATGTTTGGTGTTAATTCGATTTTATTGCAGGATCTTTTATGTAGGGATATTCTTAAGTGGTCAGGCAATTAAGTTGAGTTACATATAAACTCTACACATGGGTTAATTCCTGAGACTGGTCATTTTCTTTTCCTTTTACAGTATCCAATCTCAATGACTATCAATTGAGTTCTTAATTTAAGATCAGAAATTGTATAAAGCAATCAAAATTGTGGAATTCTCAAGACTCATTTTTTTGAAGGTTAATTTTTTCATTCTTATGCTTTGTCTCATCTTCTTTCAACAGCACTATGGAAAATCCATAATGACTCCAAACTTGACATGAGAATAATTTTTGTTTATTCTATGTATTAAGACATCTCTTTGCACCATTTCATAATCGATGTCCTTAATATACTTATTCAATAATTGTTTGGTCTGCTTGTATCTATATTGATTTTGTGGTGTATTTGGAATGATTAAAATATATCAACTTGAATTTAAAATGTTTGTGCTACTCAAGTAGACAAAACTATTTAAATTTTTTGCTGCCCAAAGTGGGGGCTATTTTACTGGTTTTAAGTTATGGTCGATACAGAAAGATGTACACTTCGACTACATTGAGAAACAAAACTCAGAAGGCTCACTCGCAATTCGTGTAACAAGGGAATAAAAGACGCACCTACAAAAGAATATTCCACATATATCGAAGTAAGAAGACTAGGGAATACAATACTTAACCGAAGTGAGCCTTCGACAAATTCTCTGTTTGGCCCGCCACCATGTACATAATCCTCACATTGACTGAACCCAGAAAGCATGTCACAGAAACACCTTTGATGGATCAGTTTTTCCCACCACTGATTGCAGCATGTACATAATCTTCACATCGACTGAACCCAGAAAGCACATCACTCAAAACACCAAGAACATCAAATGCCTCCTGGAAATCCGTTGCTGAAGTCATGTCATCAAGCCACGATAACAGTTCAGACGAGAAATCTGCCATTTCCTTAACATTTAATAGTCTCTCTTTCATGACTAACTCCCAGCCTTCTAGCTTTCTGCCCTCGTCATCATCTTCCACATTCTTGGAAGTCCCTTGGGTTCGCAAGGTGGTCGCACTAGATGATTTTTTTACCTTAAAGAAGCGCTGCAGTTGTTCTATCAAACCAGTGTAGACAAGCATTGGTTGAATAGTTGAGAATAACTCAATTGATCCCCCAGCCTCAGAAGCAGATGTACTTGTACTTCCCGACTCTGTTTTCAAAGCCCCAGACATATTGGGGGACGAGCGAGGCACAGGCCTACCATGAGTCCGCTGGATATACGCATGGTATATACCTCGTTGTAAAAAGGAAGCGCGATTCTGCAGCCACGACTCATAGGATTCTGAAAGAAGTGAGGTAACCATCATGAACTGGACAGTCTCCTCTGTACCAGCGGAAGTCTGAGTTCCAGAGGTAGTGGAGGCTCTGGATTCTGATGCAGGAGAACTTAAATAGGTTGAGATAGACTTAATCATGATATGCTGCTGAGAAGAATCATGATCAAGAAGGTGACGCGCCATTTGCATCATGAAAGGCAAAAATCGAGCATTACTGTCTTTTCCACCACCCCTGCAATCTGCACTAAATGAAGCACCAGTGGCAAATCGAGCAAGCATCTGCATGTCACCCAAAAAAGATTTGCATTAAAATCAACAGTCTCTGTTGTAAGAAGCTTCACCTACTTCAGAAGTGGAAAAATCAGCCCAAGAATATGTAACCCGCCAAAGCTTGAACTGATTGGGTCAAGATGGGTTGACCCATCAAAATATTGGGTCAGATTGGGTTTGATACAAGTGTTACCTAACGTTTTAAGACCCAATGCAACAGGTCATAATTAATTATCCAAGTTGGTGACTATTAGCAACTTTTGAACCCCAGCAGGAATGATAAATTTCTAAGCAGCTTGTGGGTTCTCGACTTTTTGTACTTCCAAGTTCTAACAGAGGTAATGTTGACTTAGTTATGTTTCTGACCTTAATGCTGTCAAATTTTAAACATCAGATGGTCTGATTTGGAATATGTTCAACACATATTCTTACCTTTCTGCGAATATTCTACTCTATCAAATCACGATGGGAAAAAGTAGAATAAATTGATTATAATTAAAGTTGAATAAATTGGAAAAGGATTTAGAAAGCAAAACAGAGGTCTCATTTTTCCATCCGGAGGGAAGTCCATTTGCCATTTAGAGAAAATGAAACACATTTTTGACCAAGTTTTCAGATCTTCTTTCAAGAATGATATGAACAAAATTATAATCTCAAAAAGTGCAAGAACTTTTTCGTACTTTATTGAACCAATTTAACCTTCTCAATCAACAAAATAGGAATCACACAAAATCAACAATAACAACATACCCAGTGAAATCCCATAAAGTGGGATTTGGGGAGGGTAGAGTGTATGCAGACCTTCGGAATCAAATTAACCCAACCCTCCCATTTAACACCCCTAACCTACCTCATCGTCCAACAAAACCGTTCCTCCCTCCTCGACCCCAACCACACGGAAAGGGAGGGATTAAAATAAAAGAGGCTGGAACAGAGAAGGCAGTAATGCAATTCACAAAATGAGATGGAAGAATATTCCAGTTTGCATTTGGGGACAGTTCGAGAAGAGAGAAACCAAAGATGTTTTCAAGATAAAGCCAACTATTCCAGAAGATGTGCTTAGCGCTGTTTGATTTTTGGTGTAAAGGAATACACAAATATGTTACCTTCTTAAAAAAGAAAAAGATAAAGAAAAAAGAGGGATAGAGATAAAAAGAGAAGATCAGGAGTGGAGAGATGAAAACATGATAGAAAGGAATAACAAAGATAGAAACTCACCAAAACAATGTCGTAAGTTAACAACCGGAGCCGACTTCCATCAGCACGCCCAAGAGCATTCAGGTAATCCCAGTATTGGTCAACGTAGCGTATATATTGCCCTATTGGTACTGATGGACCTCTCAGAGGGAAAAGATTATTGCATAGTGTCTCGTTATTTCTAAGGGCTGCTCCATCCCATTCTTTTTTAGGTTTACTTAAGGCCGCATCTGCTCGTTTAGCCTCCTGATGGCACTGAAAATGTATGATGTTGAAATGGCTGACCGTTGTGTAAACACAGTCCCCACGAGCATTTCCAGGGCTTCCAACACCAAGATTAACCCGTTTACTATAAGTGTAAACACCAAGCAAGTCTGTAGGGCGCAAGCGGTAGCCTTCACGACAAACCATGCAAGCCAAGCCTTCCTCTTCCTCATCCTCAACATCTTCCAAACCTTCCAAGATAGGTCGAGCAACAACAATACGTTCACCACCATCTGAGGACAGTTCTTGGTGCATACCAAGTCCCTGGTACCATAAAAATGAGATGAATCTCCTTAGTTACGATATTGGGCCCAACCGAAACAACATTTATAACCTCAGTTGTTAGATATTAAATGTTGCATCTAAAAGACATCTAAGAAGCTTCATTAAATAAATCACAAGGAACAATTGGAAGGGAAGAAACATATTGTGTCACTAGATAAAAAGATATTCTTGCCAGAGAATGATTAGATGCTTGACAGAAAACTATTCTACTTTAGCATCTACATATAACAATATGAAGTAACCACTGACCTACATTGAAAAAATTCTAGCTTCAGTATCAATCATCTTCCTAAGAGATAGATACTGTTGATAAGCTTCTGTACAATTCCACAGCGTCTCAATATCAGTTCTTACATTCAAGACAGACACTTCTAACTTCCAATTTTAAATTATATTTAGCAAAATGTTTCAATTACTTAAGAAATATTCTTAAAGTAATGCTCATGCCTCATGTTATGTCTACTCGTCACCTAAGGATCTCTAGTTCTGGAAATGCTTTGTTACCAAACAGGAGGCTATGATGTGCAATTTTGCTGGGAAGATTTGACCATAAAATATGCTTCAGATGAGGACAAGTGGTATTTAATCATTCATTACTACGCAACACATCAGTAGTGTTAAGTCAAGCCAACACAAAAATAAAGACGCAAAGGACATTAAGAATAGTAAAGTAGGAGTTAAGAGTAAAGTGAGATGGCAAGGAACCTGCAGTAATTCTGCTCTCTTCCTCAATGCTCGTCTCCTCATCTCATCCTTTGTCGCATGACGTAGTTGGTGAACTTTCTGAGCTAAGAACCCATCACCTTTTCCCTCTTTGTCAGACAGTGTGTCCAACAAGTTTTCAGCCCTGGCTCCAATCTCATTCTCACCAGCGACACCCTCTAAAGCATGAAGCAATGGCAAGATTCCTCCTTCATCTATGCACTTTTGAGTTGCTAAATGGCCCATCGACAAACCCCTCAGCATGGATAAAATAAGAGGAATAGATGGAAGCTTTAAACCCGAGGTCCACTCCACAGTTGATTTGAAACCAACCTGTCCAGTGAAAGCAAAGGTTTCTTTTAGATGGCTGATTGCAGCCCCAGTAATCCCTTTTTCCAGTATAATATCTTTCAACCTCTCTCCACAAGAACTTGTCTTGAGGGATTCTGAAACCCTAACAAAATTCTCTAGGGTGTATTTTTGCTTTGAAGCTTGCTGCGCAATTGTTTCATCATTCATATTGTCTTCGTAAAGTTTTTGCAGCCTATCAAATTCGCGCCAATTCTGTAAACAAGGTTCAAAATGCTGTACAAGAGCTTCCATTGCTGCAGGTTCCCCGTACGTCAAGTAAGGCAATATTCTTGCGACCATCTCAGTGTTCCTCTGCTGCTTATTTGACTTTCTAAGTCCAGATGGATGGGACAATCTTTCAAGGAAAAGTAGTACAATTTTCTTTGCCTGTTCACCAGCACCTGCTTCATCACTGGAGACTACATCTACATCAGAAGTAATGCTGATGTTATCACTCTCATTTGCTTCTAGTGTTAAGCTCTCCACAATCAAAAGAATACCCTCAGCTGGTTCCATGGCATCTACAAAGAAAGCACGCCTAGCAGTCTCAAGAAGTAAGCCTAAAGCTCCCAGCTTTAGCAATGCTTTCCGATTTTCTCTTATCTTGCAACAAAGCATGAGCAAATTAAGCACTGCAACTAACTGCTCTCGATTGGACTTGAAATCATCTTGCAAACGCTGCAAAATCAAAATCAACCATTATCAAGACATGCACAAGGTCACAAGCAGAATTTGTCATGATTTATTTATCACCAGTATGTCATTTGTTTAAGCTACAGAAATGTATAACCTTTCTTGCGCAGTCTCTTCAACCCAACATCCAAA